TTGGGAGGTTACTGCACCTGCACAGCTAAATCCATGCAGCACCAATATCTATGAGACCATCTGACTGAAATTGACGGTTTAACTAGGCTAATTCTGTGTAAATTCCTCTAGCGGCTGTCTATGTCAGGAAAAGACAAACTCTACTACCAAGATGGGGCTGCAGAAGATAATTTAACATCAACAGTCATACACCATGGTAAGACTGCGTACAGTAACAAAACAAAAGGTAGTTACACTGCATCAGCAAAGACTCTCCACAGCAGAAATTTCTAGGTAGACAGGAGTCTCCACATGTGCTGTACAAGTTCTTCTGAAGAATCACAAAGAAATAGGCAACGTTTGGGACCTTAGACACAGTGGTCAGCTAAAGAAACAGTGTAACAGATGAAAGAAATATGCTTACTTCCCTCCTTAGAGAGATAGATAGATTATTTTTTTTGTCCTGCAAAATACAGTCTTGATCGATGATAGATAGATAGATAGATAGATAGATAAGCAGCCACTGTTTAGATTTCTCTTGGGGAAGAACTGTGTGTCCACCACTTTCAGCAGTGTGTATCTGTTGCAGCATGCTAGCAGATTACCACAGGTTTCCAGTTACAGTTCCATTACTGTCTTGTGCTTTTTTTCAATTCTTCTTTTTACATTGGATTTTCTTGTACTGACAATTGTAATACATGTATTTTTTAACACAATCAATTGTTTCAAAGCAGCAATACTGCAACACATTGGACTGAGCCCTTTGCTGCATCATAAGTAATAGGTGGAGGTCAGTGGGGTCAGATTTCATGGCTAGACTCTGGTGCTCCACCATTTTAAAGTAGATGAGTTTTCTGGACTTATTTCACCCTGCCATCTATCCTCTGTATGCAGCTCCTTCATATCTTATTTGTCTCTCAACATCACAGCAGTTGCAACTATAACAAATAGCTCCATTCTCAATGTTTTTCTCAAAAATTGATTTCTCAGGTACAGATTTCCATATTTGAAGACCCTCTCTTGTGTTTCTGCCTTAAACAGCCTAGGCAACATAAGGTTATGGCATCTTGATTCTAATGCTCTAACAAGCATTTTCAGACTATATTTAACTCTTGACACTGGACTCGAGGTGAGTTACAAAAATAATTTCTTCCATAAAATGCTAATGTTAATGGCCATTCAAAATGTCAAAACTTTATTACTGTCCTCTCTGTTATCTCTCTGCACCTCTATTTTAGCATCACCTCTTACATATTTTTCTATAAATGTCATGTTTAGCCCTTGAAAAAGTATCTTTCCTTTGTCCACTGCTATAGTCACTCTGTACTGTTTGCCCTGGCACTCTACAGCACAATTGTCATTTGGCTATTAGAACCATATCTATGATGATGATGATGACGATAATGATGATGATTTTATAAAAATGTAGTTTTAATTCCCTTTACTCACTGAAAGGGCCTTGCTCAGTCACTGTCTGATAGAAACTTAAAACTCAGTTTTCATGGCGGTCTGCTGTTATAGTATACAACATCACAGATTAACATATCAGATATATATATATATATATATATATATATTGTATAATCCTCTCAATATACTGTACTGGTTTGTCTGGAGAATTTAATCTTGTAATACTCTTCATACAATACACTCTTTCCATTTGGCCAAATACGGTCCATAAAAAAATATTCTGAAAAAATTCAGACAAACTAAAAAGGACAAGACAATGGGCAAATCAGTATACATAATATAAATAGGCACATTTTCCCGCCATTTTTTTTACAGATCAAGTTAGAAAAAATAATCAATTAAGGAGAAATGAGGAGGAGCAGAAAAAAAAATATATTTGTGTATATTTATTTATTATATATTTATTAAATATATACAAATGTATCAATATATATTTTATAACTGCTCCTCCAACTCTGAGTGTGTGGTGCAGTTTTGGTCAGTTGTTTTAAAAATGTGGATTTTATAGAACAGGGTTGGCCCTCCAAATGTTGTGGATTACATTTTCCATAATGTTCACACAGCTATAATGCTGTAACCCTGTGATAGAACTACAAAAAGTGCAAAGTAGGCTTCCAAATGAATTAGGGTAATAGAAGATTTTAGTTATGAAGAAAGGCTTGAAAACTTACATTTGTTTAGTTTATTAAAAAGGTATCTCTGTGAGAATATGACACATTGCACAAACATATACAGGAGCAGTACCAGTTCTCTGCTAACCTGTTTATTAACAGGATTGTGGGAAGGGCAAGAGGTCACCCATTCAGACTTAAATAAAAGGAGATTTACCCTATAGCACAGGAGTGGATTCTTTTATTGAGAACAAGATGTGGAATTTAGGGACATAATAATTAGTATATGGGGAATATGTTAAGAAATTGTGTGTAATATTTGAGCAAAGAAAAAAAAAATTCTTAGTTTGGGGCAATTGCTTCAAATTGTGTTTTAGCCTTCTATTAGATCTTTATCAGTAACACGGATATGTGAAAGGCTCAGCTTGAAATACTATTTTTTCAGCGTATATTGCTATGCAACTATAAAAATATCAGTCAAATAAACAAATGCATATATATAAATATGTATATATATATATATATATATATAAAAAAACGTACAAAATACACAATCCAGCGCGCTCGCTTATTCACTAAACAATGATTTTAAATCTCACAGATTGTAATAGTTTTATATAAAAACACCTCACCTAGGCAAAAATAATGGGGGTTTAGTTACATTATATGATCATATATTGCAAAAGCCTGCAACAACGTCAATGTACCCGAGTCTCTGCAGGTCCTACTCTAGCAGCCTAATGCCTGCCCTTATGAGATCAATCCACTTACTTGGGAACTACTTCCTCCTGGGACTCTCTGCAGGTAAAGGCTAAATAGGATCCTGGAATGAGGCACCTGTGACAGGGAGGGTTGCAAAACCAAGAAGTTGGCTTGGACTCCCAAAGATATAAATGAAACCAAGAGGGCTGCAGTCACCTGAAAATGCATACATTATAGGGTGCTGCTGGGGCCAATATATACAACATACATTGACGTTGTGTCAGGCTTATGCAATATATGATCATATAATGTAACTAAACCCCCATTATTTGTTGCCTATAGGTGAGGTGTTTTTAAATTAAACCATTACAATCTGTGAGATTTGAAATAATTGTTTAGTGAATAAGTGAGTGCGCTGGATTGTGTATTTTGTATGTTGTATATATTGGCCCCAGCAGCACCCTATAATGTATGCATGTTCAGGTGACTGCAGCCTCTTGGTTTTATATATATATATATATATAGATAGATAGATAGATAGATAGATAGATAGATAGATAGATAGATAGATAGATAGATAGATAGATAGATAGATAGATATATTGGTTCTCTTTGCATATAATAAAAACACAATACTTTCAGATACCAGTTTTTAAAGTCATAGCTGCTTTGCAAAACAGTCTCATGATAGATAAAAGTGATGTTTCAAAAATGTTGCCTACTTTACATATTTTATATATAAACTTTAACCATACAAATTAATCACTAGCACATAAACAACACATAAACCTCAATCGATTCAATGCTTACATTTTAAACAAAATAAAATAAAGAATATCTCAAAACATGTGTGTGGGTGTTATCAATTAATAACAATAAAAATATTAATTAACAAGCAGAATATAATTTATACCATGGAGCTAAAATGTGTGTAAATACAATTTGTTCAACCAAAAAAAAAGTTAATTTATTTTTGATGGTTTTCAGAAGTAGAACATTTTAATGTATTCACCAGAGGGTATTCAGGAAAAATGTGTCTGTACCAAACACTGTAAAAAAATCACTGAAGGTAATTAAATACAAAGACCAATAAAAAATGCATTAAGTGGTATTATTCAGAATTAAAAGAAAATATTTAATCATTTATGTTTGTTTATTGGATCTACATGGAAATTACAAAGCAATATATGATTTTGGACAGCAACTAAAATATTATTGTGGACAATATAGTATTACATGATATTAAAGTAGAAATAATAATAAAAGAAGAAAAGGAAGGGGAAAAAATACAAAACATAGGAAAGATATATATTTTTTGGAGTACTATTGTTTGACCTAGGTCTGAGGAGACTTATGAGCTGGTATGGTACCATCAAAAGTTGGAGTATAGAATCAATATCATTACAGTAAAGTATGTTAATTTTATGCAGGTTCATGTTAGACCCTATAATATTGTATCAATTGAATATTTAAACATATGGAACTGTAATATATGTGCTACAATTTGGATATGGTACTATATTGTAACACGCTTGTGACTATGAAGGGATCTCAGGAACGGGAATGTTACTGTAAAATTATTGTATTATAATTTGTTCTTTATTTGAAAAATTAAATTTTTTTTTTTAAAAAGTTCTTATAATGCCACAAACAGCAGTAACAAGAATTGTAAGAAACATAGTTTAACAGATACATGGCATATAAGATGACTGCACACATTTTTTAAGTTAAGTTACTAAATCACAGGTTTGTCACATATGGCGTTTGTGGAAATGCTAAGTAAGTAAACATAAGTAAAGTAAGTAAATAAGAAATAAAAAAACAAGCTGGTACAATTTACATACTGGTGGACTAAAAAAGTAGTTAGAAGACTATGAACGAGTTAACCCGCTAATGTCGTAGTATGTCAAGCTAAATTTTCATAAGACAAATATGGTAAATGAAACATGCTAAACAAAAGGTACTTTCAAGCAGACTACGCTTGTGGCGACAGGCTAAGAGAGACTATGTATCTATATGGTAGGTAGGCAAGCATAGGTTCAGTGGTCAAGCTAGTATAAGACATTAGTAGAAGAGGGTAAAGCCACGAAGACTTTGCACTAGGTCCAGGGTGGTATTTATAATAGGTGACAGGACAAGGGGTGCAGAAGGTAAAAGCACAAGAAGGTTGCAGTGAGAGAAATGCACAGAGTCCAGACGGTAAGGAGAAGCCCTGGTGGTATCATGCAACCACTCATCCTATGGCCACTCATCAAATGCCCATGGCAAATAGGCAAGTTTCATGGTGGTGTATGGGGCTATCGGGTCTGTCTGGGCCTCCACAGCTCGTCTCCACCGTCCAGCTCCGTCACCCTCCACTTCTAGACAGAGTCCATGTGCGGTTGGGCTGTTTGCGGCCTGATGAGGTCCACAGGGGTGCTTAAGAACAGGAGACCCGCAATCCAGCTTCTGAGTGGTAGCCTTGCAAGCTGATTTCCACATGATAGTTTTGCGAGCAGACTTCTGAGTGGGAATATTACGAGCAACCTTCCGTGTGGGATTTTTGCAAGCAGGCTTCCCGGCTAGAGTTGTTTGAGAGGGTTCAACCACAGTAGCTGCCAGCATATTTTGTCTCCTCTGTCAGAACCTCCTGCAAATGGCATCAAACTTCTCCTCCCAGCTTCACACCTTGAGCTTTGTAGCTTGCTTTGCGGCAATGCCGGCGTCGGTCATTTTAGGCGGGCCGTCCTCATTAGGATCACCCAAGGGCAGCTGAAACGTGAGTATTCTCTGCTTGGTGGGGGCCGGGATATCTCCTGCCGGCTCAGAGGGTGGAGTATGGGTTTCAGACCACTGCAGGTTTTGCTGGATTCCCAACAGGGAGGTCGGCCGCCCCTCTCGGTCGGGTCCCGATTGGCCGCAAGGGTTAGTTGGTGTTTCATCCCAGCAGGGCGCTTGAATACTCCGGTTAGCAGCCGGTAACCTCTCTGCACCCTCAGACCTCGATTGGTGTCTCGTTTTGTTGGCGGTGAGCAGATTTTAAACAATCTTGGTTATCTTGTGTGGGGAGCTCTACCGTCATGCAACCGCTCAGTATGGTGGTCAAGCCCTGCCCCCCTGAGATGTTTGAGGTTCTTAAAGAGCAGTATCAACATATATTTTTTACAGTGCGATGTAGTATATATTATCATGATGTTTCATGGTTATACATAAAACAAAAAGGTCCTAAGGATGAAGCAGACTTAAATTTAGAAAAAAGTCCCTCTACACACATTTTAAGGACTTCAAGGGAGACAAATGGCTTAAAAGTAGTTCTGACAATCATGTTCTTAATTTTACACAATTGGTTATATCACAAATGTTTTAATTTATATTCTATCTACTTTCACTTATAACTCGCCCACAAAAAACCCTTTAATTAACACATTTTTATATTTTGGAAGTTATTGCATTGGTAGTATTCTGCCTTGAGATGTAGATTTGCACCATGTTGCCATCTTACCACTCAGGTTATTGCAACATTTATGCATTTATGCATTTATTTATTTTTTTATTTATGCAAATATTTATCAGTATTTGATGTTAGTAACTCCACCCGCACATCATTTACTAGTGTTGCTTCTGATGACATCTTGCATCACTTCACACCTACTAATGATGCTATTCATATATGTGCATGCAGCTGACAGTTTTTGCAGATTTTGATTTTACATCAGTCATTGTTCATACATTGGGAAAGGCCATAAAGAACCAGCTTTCCTTATTCAGGTCAGTTTCATGGTGTTCCTCTCTGACTTCTGTTGTGTACTGACTACTCTCACCTGCATACTCCGTTCTGACCTCAACCTATTCTGGTTAATCTTTATCTGTACCTTGACCTTTTCCTTGACTAGTTTAGGTTTTTTCTGATTTCTGGTTTCTTGGCTTTTTATTTTTTTTGACTACATATTCATACTCTGTCCTTGGCTGTCCTATTTCTAAATAGCCGCAACCCCTTCTTCCATCACTTATTTGGTGGTGTAGGAACTAAACACTAAGTGTCTGTCATGATCACCAGGGGAACCTAAGCACCCAGACGGCTACCCAAAATTCTTTCGCAGTGTTTCGTGAGTATTTAAAAAAAATTAACATGGCCCCTTTGCAAGAACTAAATCCACAAACTGGATTTTATTCACTTACCGCATACATTCGTATCAATTTGTTTACATCCTTTCATTGGTATAAATATTGAATTCATGTTTCAATTGCATTCGTACAAATCCCCCATTCCCATACATTCATATTTATACAAACCTCATTCGTGTGCTTTATTTCGTGCCGACTACACTGAAACCAGTAAGCCTTCAAGTAATTACAGTTCAAGCAAAAAAATTAAAGTCTAATGCTTGTGTTTTAAACTTAATACAGTCATGACAAATCCAACATCTACATGACCAGTAAACATCATCAATGCAGCCCACCTAGTCCCACCAAACTTAAAGAAAGATATATTGGAAGGCAAAGATATTAATCTAGTATCTCTGCTAAAAGCCTCCATAGATATTATAGAAAATAAGTCCTATTCATTTGACGATTTATAAGTGATTATGAAGGCCAGGGACCCCAGACTGAATAAAAAAAATTGTATACCAGAATTTGTTTTAGCTTTCGGTATATACAGGGATGTAATCTGCTCCTCTTACCCAGAGCACAGAGAAGAGCTTGACCTGATATGTCACCTTTTCTTAATGCATCCCCAGTTAAAAGCGTACTTAGATGTATTCAAAAACCTCCTAAAAGACTCCTTATTAATAGCAACATTTTCAGAAATATATCAGATCTGCTGGACCAAAACACATTCAACACTCAAACCAATATCATAAATAAAGCTGCTGCCTACATGGCATTTTATGGGTTTCTGCACCCAAAAGAACTCTGTAGAAAAGACTGTAGAGAAACCTTCAGAAATCCAGAAATGCCTAAAGAGGAAAGACTTGGCAAAGATTAATGATCATTACGTATTATCTATTTCTCATACTAAGACAAGTCAATGCGGTCCTCCAATAGAAAGATTTGCATTCACTTCTTGCCCTCTTTATCTACAGGCCTAACCATTCGTCGGTTACGGCACACCTCAACCGACTGTTGTCATACCCGATATGTTTATTTAAGGTTTATCGGCTATTAATATCCCAAACACAAATGGAAGGCATGAGACTGAAGTTGTGGGAGAGGATTCCGGCCTATAAAAGCTCAGGAGACTCCTACTTACCTGTTGTCATTTTTCGGACGTTCACCTCTCAATATATATCCCCTCTCAATATATATATGAATATTATCCTAGCAACCTACTTTTCTAGCCTACCCTTACCTTTTGTGTCACTAAATCGCACTCACTCTAGAATTTAAGCTCAATGAGCAGGGCCTTCAATCCATCTGTTCCTGTGTGTCCAACTCGTCTGGTAACAAATATGTGTCTGTAAGTCCACTCATTGTACAGCACTGCAGAATTTGTTGGCGCTTTATAAATAAGAATAATAAGAATTAAAAAAAAATGATTTCTGATATTCTTGTGAGAATTTGTCCTTTTATTTTTTTCAATATACTAACTGATGCATCGTTCTCCCATTCCATTACTAGCAAATGCTCCCTTCAGAGCACCTCAGGAAGAAAAAAGAAGTTACTTGTGTTTTTCTTTACTAGTGGTAAAATATTCTGGTAACTGGATTCAGCCACGATGCCCGGGGACTGGAGAATGAAGCAAGTAGTGATGTCGCGAACCGTTCGCGAACTTGCCGCGAACGGTTCGCCACGGTTCGCGGCGAACTCCGCTCAGCTAACACATCCCTGCCAATCTCCGGCAGACCCTCCCTCCCAGACCCTCCTACTTCCTGGACAGCATCCATGTTGAAGGCAGCTTCAACATGGATGCTGTACAGTGTGGTGTATCACCAAATTAATATATATATTACACAAGGTTCGTCTACATTAAAAGGTATTTATTAAAAGGCAACAACACAATATTATAAATGTATCACAAACACACAGCCCAGACCCACGGAGCAACGACCCTTTTTAAATCTATCTATCTATATAGTAACCCCTTCCCCACACGCTTGATCTCACCCACGGTTAGGCCTTCACATCTAGTAATGGCTCACTGCTGCAAGTTCAACATCACATCCACCAAGGAAGAAAAGGAAGCAACAGAGAGTAACATGGTTCACCATGCTAGCACATGGCGTCTGCACATCTGCTCTGCAGCACAGCCAAGAAGGAACAGAGAGGAATGGAGAAAGGGGGAAGTGGTTATCTCTTTCCTGACTTGTAAAGGTATTGAATTACCAATTAACATTTCAAAAGGGTAAAGCTTATCCCACTGTAAGAAAAGCAAACATGAGCTTGGTCACATGACCCCTGGTCACCATATTAGTTTGATGACAGAATGTCACCACATTCCCTCACTTTTTCTTCTCTTATGTTGAGCACATTTAAAAATAATAATAATTTATCCCTTCTATCTAAACTATGAGATCTGAAGTAGGAAAGGGGAGCACAGGAATTATAGTGAGTGATATAAGCAGGGTGAAAGAAAACAGTCAAATAGGGGTTGCATCACCCCACATTCCCCCACTTTTTCTTCTTTTATGTTGCTCCGTTATCTAGTTATCCCTCTAGTACAGGAAAACCTAGTGGGAGCAAAAACCTGATATACAGGAGAAATTCAACCCACCGTCCCTCCGGAATAGTTCCCTCAGCGACACAAGTTCTCCTGTACTTTCCTATGGCTGTCAATTCACATATTATACAGAGTGTCACAAAAAAAACAGAACTTATAGAATTTAGGTGAGTGTGTGTGTGTGCAATGTTAAACTTTATTGAAGAATGTGTGAGAGAGAGAGAAAAAGAGAGAGAGAGAGAAATAAAAAAAAAAATATCCCCCTTTTCAAGTTTCTTCCTCATCTATTTCATTGCCACACAAAAGTATACTAGCGGCAAAGTTTGTAGGACTGGATGTGATATTTGCAGAATTCCATACTCTCAATCCAGTTCCGACTCCTCCCAGTAGAGCTGTAAATTGTCCCATTTTTCCTGACACCCTGCTTTGCCTAAAACACTGTCACCGTTGTTCCGGACACCTTGGAGGAATAGAAGGATTATTAAAATATAGACTGTAAACCTCTCCCTTATTTGGAGTATCTTCTGGCCGTATTGCCTGTCTCCCATCCCTACTGTGATACAGCGTATACTTATCCATCCTGTAACAAGGATCCACTACGATCTTCTGTTGACACACATCATCATCCTAATACAGCTTTGCCTTGCTCTGTGGGAACACTAGATCTCATCATTAGAAAGGAATAGCTAAATGGGAGACTGGAAGACTGAGAGAAAGAACAAAACAAAAGAAAAACAAACATACATAGGATGTAGAGGACAACAAAAATTATGGGAGTTATTCATTGCTGGGGACCCCCAATTGATCAGTATTTCCCTTCCTCATCTGTTCCCTAAGCACTTTCACGTCTGCCTCCAATCTCTCAGTCTGTCTCTTTATTTCCCAGTAGTCTGTATTCCCTTCTTTATTCCTCCAATTATCCCAATTCCGTCTATTGGTCTGATGCTCATCCCATCTATGGTTCCTT